ACCGTATAATTACGAAGTTATGAAATACAACCTTCAGCATGGTGGTACGTTGGCAGCAAGTCGTGATGAGCTGCCCATCCCAAGCCGGCAAGTTTGTCGCAGCACAAATCAATTTCTCAAATTGAATCATGACTGGATGTACAATGGCGGTTTTTTGACACACCCCGCCCCCCGCAGACGGCGGTGATTGAACTTCTAATTGGCACTGAGAACTGTCATCGGTTACGCTGTTTAAACTGTCACGTTGGCACATAGATGGCGCTGTATAGGACTACTATAGATTGATTAGTAATGCCAGATCAATGGGCATTTCTTTTGAGCAAGCATGTTTTTCACGAATTTCTAACCAGGGACACTTACCAAGTTGGCATGGTGTACAACTACTAAACTATTTGGTAGGTAGGTAAATTACGATTTTTAAAAATTGCATGTGTCTTCCTTGAACGGAACCCAAATTTCATACTACCCACCATAACATGTTTTGTGTGATATAACTTCATAAAGACCGTGAAAGGTAATGTAAAGTACCCCACTGGGTGGAAAATACTGAAAAATCTGGAACTAAATAGGTGTTAAAATCCTAAATACAGAATTTAAGCTGCATGCTAACATTTTAAGTTTTTCTCAGTTGATCTTCAGAATGATAGGTACTTTGTATTTTGTTATTTTTATGTTATTATCATGGAAGATAAATTTAAACCAACCATGAAGATCCGTAAATGACGAGATAAAGTCAGTGAGCTTTCAATCAAGCGCGTTTCGCATCACTAATCACAGCGTTCGTCGCCGAATCGGCCTCGAACACCTCGAGAAACAAAATGGTGGTGGTTGTAAATTACCATATTTTAGTAAAATTGACACTTGGCCATTATCTACCGGTCGGGCACCGCAGAGTCAACGCTCTGAAACCATCCGGATCTAATTACGTTGTGTCATTAACATCACGGAGACGGCACGTCCGCTTTGGGAATGGAATCGAATCATTAGTAGTTTGATTACAAAAAAGGCTTAATAGAAATATAATAACGCTGGACGGAGAAGAAATTGTAAAAAGATTGTAGAGCGAACCAATAATTGGTGGTTATTCTTCGATACGGTTTCGAGCGGGGTAATGGGTTGGGACGCCTCGACGTGACTCCGGAGTCCGGCCTCCCTACGTTGATGTTACAATTTAGCGGAGTTTGCGCCGATCTTAGGCTAAGTGCACACTGGTAATGTGTTCGCTCCTACTTATCGCTGTTGCCACATGTGCAACCTGTAATTTCGCGTGCGGTTAGGCATAGCCCTTGTTGTCATTGGTCATGGTCATTTGCGACGTATTTTTACAGGAATGAAAAAGAAACCATGTAATGACTTATTATTATAGTGTAACATGAAAGGATGTAATTTTACAGGACTTATGATATTTTAGTTTTTAAATAAAACCTGCATCTGAATTTTACTCACAGCGCGGCACGTTGCTTGTGTGTCACCACTCACCAGCATTATTTTAAGTAGGTACGTCGGAAGCAAACTTAATTTCAATGAAGTAAGTATCTAGGTAAGTATTATTTTAAGATATTCATTAAAATTAGATATGGAAAAGTTAATGTTTACCTATGTGGTAAAACTTAATATAACTTCGAATCTAATTTAAATCCTATAAATTGCCCTCAGTAACTATCCTATCCACAAAGAGTAGAATGATTTTCATTTATTAATGTATTTAATTAAACTGATTTAATCCATCGTAAAAAAACATTTCAATAACAACATATTAAATTGTTAAGTAAGCAACTCATTTCAGTTACAACATAAAATATGAACTAATAATAATACCTATTCTTCAAAATAATTGTGTCGATTAAAGAATTTTACATAAATCTTTTTTACTGTAGTCGTACGAGCGTGAAGTTTATGTATTTCAAGATAAACTAATTTCAGTTTTTTCAAGTTCAAGAAGACGTGTAGTCTAGAGGTCGCCATTGGAGCGTTTACGAGTTTACGTGGTTGATATTGAATACTGTATTTGACTTGACCAGATAGATAAAATGCTAAACTATCAATTGAGGCAATAAAAAACTGAAATATTTCCCATGAATCAGAATTTAACCCTGACTTCAGTATTTATTCTGTGCTTCAGAAAGTAACTATTTCGCGCACCTCTTTCAAAAGGGGCTTCAAACCCGCTGTTACTGGCTTTGTAACACAGCGCGAACTTAAAATAGGAAGGTATTCAGTAGGTTCAATTTTCAGTAATTATGTAGGTATAGTTTTTGCAATTCTCGGAGGCGAGTGAGCTTTACATGTGTGGTGGCTCGCTACTGTTCGTTTTACATAGGTTTTTATAGACATTACATTACACTATTGTTATGTGCATGTAAACGCACACACACAAGTAAAGCTCACTCGCCTTCGTGAGTTGAAAATTGCAATTTACTTTAAACGTGTTTCATTGTCTATTTTAATCTAGCTAAGGGATTATTGTACTCTAGGCAGCTTATCAATTATACCAGTTTTAGCAGACTGTATCCATTAGCAGACTGCAACTAAACGCCCTTGGAGCTCAGAACTTTCGAAGTTCAATAAAACTGTGAGCACATTATTGGGCACTTTAACCAAAATCGCAAAAGTGCCGAAGAAACAAAAAAAATATATAGCAGTTTTTGAAAGAATAAAGGTAGGTATACAATTTTTTTTTAATCTGTAACGCATTCCAGGTGACAAAAGGAAAAGTTACGAAATATTTTGCGTGATCTCGATTTAAATTCTAAGATTATGTTACGTAAGTTAATGGACCAAGTTAGTAGACTTTGTTGTCGCCATTTTTCAAAAAAATTAAATAATAACATGAATAGATATTATTAAAATAGATATTGTTGCAATAAATCCCGTGAAGTGATAATTTTATGAAAAACAAAGATATGAAAAAAGTTTATTTGCCAAAAAATATTGCCTAATAGTTAACTAAGACAACTTTCATGGCCAAAAAATATTGCCCAATAAGTACTTACTTAGTTACTTTATTTATGTATGGACGGGCGCAGGCGTGGCATTTCTAACCACGTGCACTTTTACACGACTGCGCCAGAAGGAGGGTTATTAATAAAATTGAATAATAAGATAAAATACCGTATGTAATTAAATCTTAGACTTGACATTAAAATTTAAGCTTATTTGAGCATATCACTCAGTAGTTCAGTTGAAAGGAATTAAGTAATCGAATAAACCATCCTCTCGTATTGGAAATAATTACTTAGGTAAGTAAGTATGTTGATAAAAACATGCTCATTTTCCTGAGTAAGTGATTTTGAATGAAGGAGAATTTGACTAAGTAACTAGGCATAGGCTAATTTTACTAACTGCCCAATAGTTAAAACTTAATATGTACCGACCCTAATTATATGGTGTTTAGGTACTGCAGAATATTGCGTATCATTTTAAATTTCTAGTGATAATATTTATTGCGTCAAAGCAAAGAAAAAATTATATGTATTAAAGCTACTAATTGAGTAGTAGAACCACCGTAAATTAAACTAAACACTGATCTGCTAAACTGCGTGCGATATTTTGCAACAAAAAACGGTTAAATACTCATGTTGGCGACTGTACTTTAAGTTACCTAAGGATCTTTTCAAACTCATCCATGATTATACAAGATACTTTTTCTTTGATCATACAAAAACGAAAAGGATCAAATGCGTCGATCGATTTCGCCCTTCAATTGATCGGGCTAGTTACCGACATGATATCGTTGGAATCAGCTAAAAAACTCTTTTGTTGCTCAACAAAAAGCCTTGTTTTCTGGTAAGCACGTCCTATATATTGTGTTTATACAATGAAATAATTAGCTGGCTTGGTAACGGGATTTTTTGCTTAATTCCACTCGTTGTGTGGTTGTAATTTAATATTTTTTGTAATGAGCCCTTGAGTGGGTGAGTGGGCGTCTTAAAAATGTCCGTATTGTAAGAAAAATTCGAGATATCGTTTACATTTTTAATGCTGTTTTACGATATAGGTACCTGGCCCAGTGTGGTACAAAACTTAGGTTGAGTTGCATCATCTTACTTTAGCTCTGACAAACATCAAAAATCTGTCAAACTCTACGTAAAAAATACCGGTTATTGTTAATAGTTACGGTCAAAGTTAGGTGGTGCAACTCGGCCTTAGTAGAGTCGTATTTCCTAAGTTACTTACCTTTACCTGTTTTCCTGGTACTTTCTCGGTTCCCATCAGGACGAAGAGATGTGTCGAATTTCTTTTGTTTCTTTTTTGTAACATTCACTTTGTTTAATGAACCATTTGATGAGTTTATCTAAATGGTTCTAACTTTGTGTAAGAGGAAGGTACTTAAAACTTTCAAAAGTGTTTACCTAGCTTGTATTTTGTTATAAATAATTAAAATAATGTGAATAGATTGTAAAATAATTGCCATGTAGCTAATGTAGCATATTATTATGTTCTCATTAAATATAATATTAAAAATAAAACAAAACAAAACTACTAAAAAAGAACTTCGCAGCGTGCCGTTACGATCATTATTTAATGGTAAATATATATTGAAATATTTAAATTTAATCTAAGATGCTAGCAATCTGTTAAATTTCCCTTGAGGCACAGCATAAATCTCAATACTTAAACATTGCAAAGGACGCCACCTCCCACGAAGCGGAAATGTATGCTTTAAAAATATTTTTTGTCTTTCAAAAAGGACACCCAATACTTGTGTGATTCATTTAAATAAAGACAAAGATGGCGCTTTGTTTTAGTTTCGCCAGGTATTTGTTACTTTTACAATAGCAGAGAACCATTGTAATCTTTACCTTACTTACAATCACCACAGGTTCACCTGCCCTTAAGCTTTAGTTAACTCTGTGCCTCTTACCAGGAGACTGAATTCTCTGAATAAAAAACAAATATTCGTTCTCTTTGACAGCACGTTGCTTTTCAAATAATAAAAACATAAAAAAACTCAGGATAAAAGGAACCAAGGAAACATAAACAAAAGAAAAAAACGTAAATCAATAATATAAATATTGCATTTATTTCAACGAATTCTGCAAATATAATAACTGTAGATAATAATTATAATAATACTATTCAGTTTACAAGACTTTAAAATCTTTCATATCGCGACGAGTGCGTCGCCCAAATTACCAAAGAATACTTTCACTGGCTGGCACTGGACTTTGTATCAAACAACTACTGAACAACGTTCATTTTAATAACAGTAAATGCAGATCGCAAGTTATTACTTTAAAATTAAATTATACAAATTAAAATAAAATTATGGAAGTCGTAATTGGAGGCAAAGTCAATATCAAATAAAACACCAATCGCATGGTGCGAATACATAATAATATCTACACGAAACAAAATATTAGAATAAAATCAAAGAACAAAAATAAATACAAACATAACACAAAACAAAAAAATAAAAATAAAAGAAAGCGATATGCAAATAGGCATGCTCTAAAAACTCTAAATCATAAGGCGAATGTTGTACTCGCATGTACGCGCTCGCTGCGTGTAAATACGCCGCATTATGCTTTCCGTCGTAAGGTGTAATATTTGCATTTGAAAGATCAATAGAGACGTATCAAGACGATAGACGTAGGTAAAAATTTCCACATAAATAAATAGAAGAATGGCGACACCCGCGGCGCGTGCGCCGGTTGCGGTGCGGCAGGCGTCGCACGAGCTTTGATTGTTCGGGACATTTAAATTTGAAGAAAATATTTGCATATCGCCTAACTCCCCAATCTCGGGACACTCTTATGTAAATGTTAGGGAATAGCAAAAACTGCAGCCGGCGCGACCCCACACGACTGACTTATTATTATGTAAAACCGACAAACTATGTTATGTCTGTATGTATTTCAGTGCTTTGATGCTCGCGCTTCAGCCGCAAGCTATTTGCAAAGGATATGCGAAACACTAATTAGATATACAGTTATATCACAAGTTCTTAAGACGCCTCGACGAAACAAACAATATATTTATTTATACCTATATAGATAACTAATCGTAACATATTACGAGCAGTGATCGGAGACAATTTTACAGCGTACTTTATCATTACAACTAATAGTATACTTGTACACTTTAATTATATACAGTGGAGTTCAGAGATAATAATTTACAAAACACTTCCATCCTAAAAGGCACCTTATTTAAATAGTTATATAGACTTCAGGCTTCGCTATGACTTTACATGATAACTAAAACGTTTTTAATTTTCTAAAATATATAATTTGGTTTTCATTACAATCCTACAACAATCGACAAGTCGCTAATATCTAATAGGAGTTTTAAATATGAACAACTAGGAAGAATAATATTATGCAACAGATTACTAGGCTATATCGTGACGTAGTGTTGGTGTTTAGTGTTTTCCGAACCGTTAGAGAAAGAAAGAAAAAATCGAGAAAGTTGTTTGATGGGTGTTATGAAAACAATCGATTATTCATGTGGAGCGAAATGTATATGTCAGATCGGGTCCATTAGATATATATACGGCGTCCTTCACGCGTCCTAGCGCTGCCATTGTTGTGTTTCGTTTGCATTTGAATGGCAGCGCCGCCCCCGCCGCCTTCTGGCGACAGCCGCGTCGCCGACCACAAACACAACACCGAACAAAAATACCAAAACTAACTTCACAATTAATCAAAAACAAATCTCTGGCACCCGAGCCTCAGAAAAAATAATCCATTTCACACTAATTTTAAGCCTGTATTATTACCGGCAGATTGAGAAATGTTTTTTACTGTTTCGATCAGTTGCCACGCTTCGAGCGATAGGTACTTGGTAATTATTTGAATTACAAAATAATTTCTGAGATTGAATCGGCTGTGTACGTGCCACCATTAGCTTTCGCATGAGACAAACAGAATAGCTGAGTTATTTATCGGTAAATGGCATCTATTTTAAATTCAGAAGACGATTTATACTGGACCCGAGAGTGGTCAAAGACGTTCTTAAAGATTCGAAATCACTAAACCAACACTACGTGAGGATATCAATAAAACTATTCCACGTAACATCTAAACGTTATTTACAAAAGGACTCACTAGTAGGAAAATGGAGCAACGACCGTCACGGCACGAAAAGAGCCTCGCTCGAGTCGTGTGTAATCGGCGCATTATCGAATGGAGCGCACTTGCACTCGATCGAGCGAAACTCGCCGCTGCGAGGTTCTACGTAATCGGGCCGGAGTCGCGCGGCGCCCGGGAGCGCCGGCGGCGGGCCGGGTCAAGTGGTGCACTCACCGTTGCCGGCGAGCTGCGGCCGCAGGAAGGCGTTGTGGAGCTCGCCGCCCAGGCCGCTCTCGAGCCGCGCCGCCATCTGCATCAGCGCCAGCGTGCCGTCGTCCGCCACCGCCGTCACGCCGCTCTCCAGCCGCGCGCGCACGGCCGCGATGTGCCCGCGCGTGAACACGTGGTCTTGCACCGAGTACTTGTGGCTGTACTTGAAGTCACACACGCGACACTCCTTCGGCGGCGGCGCGTCCGACACCTCCGAAAGGCCGGCCGCCAGCCGCGCCTTCTTCTCTTTGGCACGCGCGTTTTGGAACCAAACTTGCACCACGCGTTTCGGCAGGCCGATCTCCCGCCCTAGCGCCTCGCACTCCGCCATTGTCGGCGTTTTGTAGTCGCTGAATAATGATTTCATTATTTTAACTTGCAGTGATGACATTTGAGTGCGGTAGCGTTTGCCGGGGGGTCTCGGCGTCTGCGGCTGGCCGGTCACCGGCGATGTCGGCTCGTCTTCCTCGTAGAATTCCATCGTTTCTGACGCTGTGTCCGAGCGCTCGTCGGCATCCGAGCCGGGCCGAGAGAGATCAACAGGCTTGCTGAGATCTAGGGGTATCTCCGATTTTCCATGTTCAGGACGTCTTTCACTGTTTTCATTGTTACCACCGTTCTGTTGGGCGGCCGCGTGAGCTTGTAGTTCGCTTACATAACGTTTCATTGATTCCTCACTGTACTGCTTGATAAATTTCTCCATGTCTGAGTGAAAAGGCGGGAAAATAGGGGGCAACATGGGAGCCCCCGCTTGGGAAAAATTTTGCTGCCGGTCACTTTGTTGGGAGCCAAAACTTGGCGTTGATTCTGTGCTCAATTCTTCATCCGGCAGTGCATCTACATTAATTTCGCCTCTTGCACATTGGTCTGCGTGCTTCGTACTCAAATGACTTTCTAGTGCGCTTTTAACCTTGAACAATGCTGGACAAAAGGGACATCTTTTGTTGATGACTTGCGCATGCGCACGAAATTGTCCTTTTCTCTCACGTGCTCGTGTATTTTGGAACCAAACTTGTACAACTCTTTTTTTTAATCCAACCTCCCGAGCAATATTCTCGAGCATTTTTCGGGAAGGATTTGATTCAATTTGGTATTTTTGGTACAGATAGTCCAGTTGTTCAGGTAAAATTGTCGTCCTCAGTCGCTTGTCTTTCGGCTGCTCACCAGTTTCCACCTCCTCAAACTCATCAAATTTTCTTTTAGCAACTTGTTGATTCAATGCAGCTACTAAAGGGTGTCTTGCGTCATCGTTGCCCAGGGAAGCATTCAGCTGTTGCAATTGTGCGTGTTGTTGAAGAATGCCAAAAGGGGAATCAGGAGGATATGTGGGGAATAGGTTTGGGTTCATAATGTGAACGAGTTGATGTTCTCGCCATAAATCGAAACGAGGGAAGACAAGGTTGCATTTATCACATTGAAAATTGCCATCTTTTTCTTCTCTTGGCTGATGCGAGAGGGGTGTGACTGGGGTGTGAGGGGCGGGGGGCGCCGGGGACACTGGGTAATTGGGAGCTGCGGGGGTGGGGGTACGAGGAGGGGCCGGTGACACCGGGACGTGAGGCGCGTGGTGTTCCACAGTACTTGAGTTCGAGTCCTCACTGCTCAAAGTGGCCGCCACCTGTGCTGCTGCAGCCTGCGCTTGGGCAGATCTCTTGGCATCTTCTTCTTTAAAACAATGCGTTTTCTGATGTCTAATCAACTCATAATATCGTTGGAATACTAATTGGCACTTTTTGCATTGATAATTAAGCCCAGGAGTGCGTTGAAATCTATTAGCATCATCGGTAGCTCCTGCTGGTGGTTCTGCAGCTGGTTGGTTTTCATACACTTTCCTCGCTTTCTGGCGGGCGTTTTGGAACCAGACAACAATAACTCTTGGGCTTAATCCTAGCAGTTTAGATAAGTATTCAAGATCATCGTCCTTTGGGTAAGCGTTATTTTCGAAAAATTCTTGTAGAACCTTGATTTGATAGTCTGTAAATCTAGTTCTGTTGGCGCGTTTGCCAGAAGACCCCGAGCTGTTGGATCCGTTCGAGTTGCCCCCGGAAAGTCCGAAATCGGCCGGTCCCCTGCCAGGGCTGAGGCTGCGATTTGGGGTCAAAGGTAGGACGTTCGGGGGCGCGGAGTTTGGGGACGTGAAATTAGGATTCAACTTTGGTGGCAACATTGACGGATGCGGTGGCTGTGGTATACTCGTAGCTGGAATTGAGTCTAACTGCGACTGAATCAAGGAATTCAAAGACAAGTGCGTCGGCGTCTGCGGCCGCGAAATGTTTTGCTGATGGTCAGAGTGATTCACACTCGGGGCAGGGCTCTGGGATGGGGCTTGAGGAAATATAAAGCTTTTATCCTCTTGATGCCTGTCTTCGTACGAGTTATACTTCTCTTCCATTGTCAATTCATCATTGGGTTCTGACTTAACTTCTTGTTGTGCCATCATGTCTTCAGTTTTCGCCTTCTTTTCTGGAGGTGGTTTACCTTCGTCAGAGCTAGCAGAAGTGTCTAAAGGCGTGACCTTGGCTTCTCCAGTCTTTTCGTATTCTTCAAGGTTCAGCGTTGTGGATGGAGGATTGTTGAAGTTGTAAGGTGAGTCTTTGTTCCGCTGGCGTTCTTTGAACAGCGTATTCCTGAACCAATGTTTGATTACCTTAGTGGCGAGGCCGGATTGCTTGGCCATCTTGGCTATCGCTTCGTCGCTCGGAGAGTTGTTGATGTCAAAGTGTGCTCGCAAGATCTTCAGCTGCTCGTCAGTGATGCGAGTACGAGCGCGTTTCTGTCCAGCGGCAGCGTTCGCCTGTAAACAATGGAAAAACATAAATATTTACTTCACTGAGTTTACATAGTGATAACACTGAGTATTGAAAACCAAAGCCACGTGATTTAGAACGAACAAAGAACATTTAAATAGTTATTCATTTATCCGTATTAGTTTCTTTACAGTTTGCAGGTAACTTTGAATAATAATAAAAAGACGTTCGGGCCCCAAGGTGTAACAATAGGCTCTGTGTTGCTTTGTGCAAACAGATAGCCAACATTAAATCGGTCGCTTATCTTACAATATAACTCGTGGATAAATACGTATCCGTTAAGTTATTATTATTAATTGCTGCCCAATATCAAGTTTCATAATAATTCTTACGATTTTGTCATAAAGATGCATATAAAAAACATCAAATTAGTCATACACAAGCCTACTGACACTATTTACTACTTAGTTTAATCACTACTAAAATAACTTTTCATTAAATATGCGTAATAAACGTGAAATAAATCTTGATGAAACTGAAAATATGTCATTTTTTTCCTATTTTTAGCAAAAGCTGCCTCGGGGCTTTTGCAGTAGATAATAAAAACAGTGCAATAGACATAATGAAATACTCGTAGTGGCATTATTGTTTATAGTCAATGATTGCGAAGTGATAAGTTATGAGTGTATGTTAAATACGTTAAGCTATTTTTAATTAAATAACTGTTTAAAGTATATACCTTCGAACCCATATACATAGAGCATAATTTAATAATAATATAAATGCTTAACCTTGGTTTTACGATCATTTGAAGAATCTTAACTGTGGTATTAATCAACACTACGATTATAAAGAGTTATTATTCTGAGATGGAAATAATTGAATATTGATAAATATCATAAAGTTCATTTAAAAGTGTCGATTAAAAAGTTAATTAATGTGCGATTATTTAAAAACGATTTCCTTTACGACCGTGGATTTATAACGTTCTCAGTAGGTATAGACACTATCCGTCATTAGGTTCAAACATTTAATATAATCGCACAATTTACTTCTGCAAATTAAGTAGGTATGTACTTGAATGGCATTTCCTTTCAATCTGTTGACCAATGTAAACATTACCCACGTGGCTATAGGTCAAAACAAAAGGCACTTTATTGTGAACGTTTTAAGATACATAATAATTAAAAAACATTTAGGTATCGCATTACACAAATCACTGAACTAACCTGTTGTTGTTGTTGTAACAACTGCTGTTGTTTCAGTTGAGCATCATGGGCGTAGGGCATGGCATCGAAGGGTGGAGGAGGCAGCATGAGTGGCACCAGCGGCGGCTGAAGGTTCATAGCCGCCAGCGCACCCACGTTCAGGCCCAGTGGCAACCCTAATGACAGCATCTGGGCCACCATCGGATGCAGCTGGCCCAACTGCTGCTGCAGCTGGAGCATATTCAAAGCTGCCTGCATCTCTTGCACTTGCGCGGCCAATAGAGCACCAGCCTGCGCTTCACTTGGCGTATTGCCATTCTCACTGAAGTTACCAGCACCATCACCGCGAGGCGACGGTGACCTCTCACCCTGAGGCGCCGGCGACGCCGCCCGCGGCGAATTCGGAGCACCCGACTTCCTCTCATACTCCGATTTGAACTGCTCCGCGAACTGTTCCAAGAACTCCAAAGGAACTTTATCTTTATGCACTTCTTCACAGTGAGTTTTTAACACGAACACACTAGAAAACTCCTTGTTGCAATGCTGGCACGTCGACTTCGATTCGCCATCCGGAGGCTTCTCCTCCGGCGGCGGCGGCGGAGGACTAGGCGCCCGCGCCATTTCACGTTCTTCTTGCATTTTTCGCCGCTGATTTTCATTGTACTGCATGACGAGGTCGAATCCAAAGGTCTCTAAAAGTTGTTTATACATTTGTGAGTTACGTTTGGGCGGGTTGCCCTTGGCGACCATTTCGTCTAGTGCCGCTGCTTCTGCGTCACCTAGTGGCGAATGCGCCCGCGCATCGCCGAATGGGCATGAGGTCGCACGATGTGCGTCGAGGAGCTCCCCGGTAGGAAATGACGCGTGGCAACGATCGCACGAGGCGCTACCTGCGCGCGGGGACCGCGGGCTACCTGGCCGGGCGGGGGGCGACGAGCGCGGGCCCCCACTGCTTGTAGACGAAGGGGATGTGTTTTTTGGCGACAAAACGTCTTGTAAAATTTTGGCGGGGTCGTTCCTGTCCGGCTGCTCTACTAAGGGTCGCGACAAGTCCACGTGACCGGCCGCGGCCAGCTCTTGTATCTTACCCGCTCGCGTCTGGTGAAGCACCGATCTCATGTGAATGTCGAGCGTGCTGCCTTGCGTGTAGGCAACTTTGCAAATATTGCATTTGTAGCGTTTTCGGTCGTCCTCCTCACTCGACGTGCTCTTCGGTGTGAGTGTCAAATTAGAGGGCGCGGAGCCTGCTCCGGGCGATACGGGAGGGTTGTTATTATTCTGTTGTTCTTGCATGGCTCGTTTCAATTTGTGCAAATGACTCACACTATTATAATGAACTAACAAGATATTCTTTTGTGTGAACGATTCTTTGCATACGTCGCACTTGAATGGTCGGTTGGGGTCTAGATATTTTTCCATTGGATATGTTAGTTTTTCGCCTTTCCTGTGTAGGAGGGTTTTGTTATGGGCGGTCAAATAAGATTGACGGGTAAAGGCGACTTTGCATCTGTGACACTTGTATTTTCGGTTAGGGTCATTGTACGAATCTTCGGCCATGGCTTGAGAGTTCAAATAATCTTCCAAGAATTGTTGATCTTTGTAGATTATTGAATCATCAGAATTTTCAGCATCATTATGTCCCGACTCATCTGCGACAGTTGCACTTGAGTCTCTGTCTTCCGTATCAGCCAACTCATCATCTGGCGTTCTGAGCGCTTCTTTGCGTAATAACTCAGCAGTGGCGGAGTCTAACGCCGTGCCTTGATTAGATTGGAGCAAGGGATTAGACGCCAGGCTTCTCTTGAATGCGTTCAGTTCTTCTTCGGAAAGCTCAGGATGGGATGTCTCAACGTGCTTCTGCAGCGCGAGTACAGATCTGAAGCTCCTCCCACATAAAACACATTTGGTGGCGTCACGAATCACGTGGTATTGAGAATGAAGTTGTAATTTCTCTACAGTCTTAAAGGCGAGGCTGCATTGATTGCATCTATACTTGTAAACATGCTTTTCTGATACAGACATGTTTGCTATCGAGTTACGAGCGTGGGCTTCCCTGAAATGGTTTTGTAGGGCATGGGCCGCTTCAAAATAACGGTTGCATCCTTTTTTCCAGCACACGTACCCAGGGCCTTGAGGTGTTTGTTTTAGTTCAAGATGGCCAGATTCGTTTTGGTGTTGGCAAAGTTCGTCAACATTGCGGAATGTTCGGTTACAAGCCGAACAACGTTCGGTCTCGCCGTCTGCACTGCCCTCAGATCGAGGCGATGAAATCTCACGTTCGTCCTCTCCCTGTTTCGTTTCATCTCGCTGCGACTGCCCGCCGTTTAGCCAATGGCTTTGATCGACGAGTAACAAAAGTCTCTGCAAGCCCTCTGAATTGACTGAATGAATTTGCATGACATGTCGTTCGAGAGCCGGTCTTTCTTTGAATGCATCTTGACACAGCGGGCAGATAAAATGTCTCACAGTGTCGCCATGAATTGAAGAAACATGCGCGTGTAAACGCGCCTCGCTTCCACAGCTAAAGTTGCAATAGGGGCACGCATGTGGGCCGGGCGTCTCGCGCTCCTCATCCCTCTCATTGGAACTCTGTTGGACTTGCTGTTGTTGTTGTGTTTGCTGTTGTTGCTGATGCTGTTCCAAAAACCGCATCATTTTTTGTTCTTGAGTCAGTTCTGGCTTCTGATCGATAGGTTCTTTGTTATCTGTTGACAAAAGAAAAAACAATCAGATTGTTTTACACTACTAAAGCAAATCACCAGTGTATTTGATTTAGCGAACCTCCTGCCGCGGAATCTGCAACACGAATGAACAGCGATCTGTATTCCGTAAGACCACAATGGCTACCTACGTCTACGTGAGATTTATCTACAAAAAAGATTATTTCTATAAATGAAGCTCACTATTGTTCGGTGCGAGCGTTTGTAACTTTTCTGAATTGAAGTTAAAAATAAAATTCTTCTCTTTTATATTATTAGTACGAGTCGTTTTGTTTGCGACGTCCCGGCAAGACAAAGGTATCGGCTCTATCCATCCCGTACGCACACATGCACGGTGGTTAATGCTAACGTAACAAGTATATTGTAATTTTGCACACAAAGGAGATACAGGACGAGCAAACAATCATTGTTCATTATTACAAAAGGTTTCGAATATTTCGTTTCGCATCGGATCAAATGCATACGGGAGAGTTGACGTATGTGACGGTGGGTGTGAGCGAGACGGTTGTCTAGATGTGAGTGTGCAATTATTATTTGACCAGGGATAAGTCCGCGGCAGCGTGTGAAAGAAGCTGGCCCGCATTGTTTACGCTCAAATAAGGAAGGTGAAAGAAACGGCCAATGTAGGGATGGGCTCCCAGATTCGTTAAGGTAACGTTACAATTTTACTTAATAGATGAACAAGCTACTGACATTCCATCAAACTATTGTATTACATACATACGAGTATTGTTGCTTGAAAAAAACTAAACGAAATTTCATATCATTGATTAGAATTTTAGATTTTACTACTTTACATATTATTTACAAAGCAATTCAAATACTACGCATGTTGAAGCTTTATTAATTGTAAGTAGTTTAATTGAAAAAAAAAAAAAAACTGAACTTGAATTAAAACAAAAAAAATCTGTCAATTTGCATACGTCCTCATTTGGCTAACAAAGTATATTGTTCGCTTGAATCGCAGACATGTAAATCCTCAACAACTTTCTTAATTAAAAATGTTAAAATTTCTCACAGTCCAGCAAACCTGAAACCCGTCAGCCCCTGTTTGGGAACCCGTTCCATAGTTTTAAGCGTTAAAACCGTTACACTAATGAAAGGGGGATAAGTAAATCCGTGCTAATAATAATGATAGCGCAACTGACCCCAATGCAGGGACGGAGTGACCAGTGAATGTAATTATTTATGATGTGGCATCGCCGACCCGAAGTCTGGTAGGAGCATAGAACAATGGCCAGGTAAAGGGACCTCGTCTGCACAAATGCGATCTCCGATGCTTTTTGTCAATGGACAAAGGGCCTTTTCTAAGGAAACACCACATCGTTATAGCGTCGTAAAGTAGGTATTGTGCAGTGAAGTTTTGTTTTGCGAGATTTAGGTCAGAATTTTTACAATGTGGCGTCAGGACCACAATGGGGCTTTAAATGTTTTACTGTCTTCCAGTCTTGGGGTTGCGTCTTCGCATTATTTCAGGGTGATTAAATTTTAATTTCTACTCAGAACAATAACGAATCTTAGCAGTTATTCAAGTCTTGTGATAAGATTTTAGCCATTATTGTGGACCTTCTTTTAATTTGGTATGAGATAGTAACGCTTTATTCAATGCTTGCTTTTGAAACAGGTTTCAATAAACGACAAGGAGGCATCAAGGTTTCACTCACTTGTTTAATAAATGACGCTTTTTATAAAAGATATGAGCAAAAACATCTCGTGTTAGGGTGCCACTTCTTGGGCAAAAGGACTGAATCAACAACCGGTTTTTATTCTTGTTAAAATTGAATTGATGACGGGGATGAGTAATAATGAAATTAGTAACCAAGGGACTGGAGCTGTGGGCAAGGAATGTTTATTTAAGATTTCAAAATACTTAAATTTGAACGCCTTAAAACGTTGATTTTGAATATGTAAATATGAATGAATAGAAGAAATCTTTGAACGCATAACATTTAGTTTATTGCTGTGGTTCACAATGGGCCTAAGGCAATTCGAGAAACTAAAATGTATAGGTACCAAAATCGATCGTTTAAAGCAGCTTGCTCAATAAGGTGAAAATAAGTAATAAGCATAAACATGAGGTGCACAATGGTGTAAGCCGGATTTCTTTCGCCTCCACATTTCTCTCGGAGTTTATCGTATTTCACCGTGGCTATAAACATGCGACGGCGATGCGGCCGGCGACATTGTACGATGATGTAGCTGGCTCATCACAAGGGGGCAATCATCCTTAATGCGCGACGGGCACATACGTAATGCGAGTCATTGTCCCGCGTGCGGTACTTATGGAAAATTCGCGTTCTCAATTCAAATCTTCTTTCCGTCTCCCTCGCTCGCGGGGCGGAGCCGCCTCCGACCAATGACGGCATCCGACTGTGGCGACACCGTGTAAGGCGTACGTTATTAAAGAAACCTGTTCTAATGTTGCGCGCTTTAAATTAAATTTTGTCCGTGTGTAATTATCTCATTATTGTGATTACGAATTCTTCGCTAAATGCTCATCGCCGTAAATGGAGATTGCTTCTTAGATTGAACACGACATGACGGTCACGCGGGAAGCGATAATTAAGCACCCGATAACTAAACAACCTCATACCTCATTTTTGAGTCCACTTAAGCAAATTAACACTAAGCAAATTGTATATTTAACACAACTCATAGAATGGGTTCGGATGTAAAAAATGCAGAACAAAATTGATTAAGGAACGAATCGGATTAAATTGGAAACCGATAGTGACGTTTCGAAATCACATTCATAAGTCGACTCTGTATTACTTTATCGGTATGAACGACGGTAATGGTTTTGGTTGAATTAATTTTAATGGGATTTTCACGCTTTATAGAATAAAATGTTACGAAATGTGTTTAGTACAAAGGTAATAAATAATATTATACAGTTTTCGATGTTTGCTCAGTGAAAAAAAACGCATTGCAGCGAGCGACATCTATTGAGACAAAAAAATAACAGCCGGTTGATTGAGGTGCGCACGCGCATCCAATCATTATTTGAGTTATTTCAAAACGCTCTCGGTACCACAGTTTTTACTTTGTTAGTTGTAGTTATTTTGTAACGCGCTAATTATCATTAGGCTGTAGTAACTGTACAAAGACAACGCCTCGAGGAAGTTACAACGGAATAACAATAGAGCAGTCACGGTTGGAAAATTATTAGCTAACAAATAAGCTATTTCCTTATTACGCTAGTGAACATGAAAAGACAAACTAAAAAATTCAATTAAAACTTTTCCTATTATAATACCTACTTAGTTATTTTGTAGAGAGGTTCGCTAAATCTTGTTAATGTTTGATTTATTCAAAGAAAATAAAAGCATATTTACCATTTTCTTGTTGATCGAACGGGCTAGGTAGTTCTGGTGGTTGCGGAATCATTTGGAAGAGTTCAGCAACGTCAGGAGTGGGGTCCTTGCCTTCAGAACGGCGCTGCAGTTGATGAATTTGTTCCATTTGTAGATGTTTCACAGATCGCACATGCTGCAGAAGTGACAGGCGATGAGGAGCACCAAAGCCACAGAGAGCACAGCGGTACACACGGGGTCTTTCACGAGGAATCCGAGACGCACAGTCCCGAAGATGTCTCAACAATAGAGTAGCGGCTTCATGCCTAGCACCGGCAGCGTGAAGCTGCAATTTATGAGCGGAATTGGTGTAATAATCACAAGCACAACACCTAACTTGCACTCCACCAACACCGGCACCACCGGTTCCTACGCCACCACAGAACTTCAACTTCCATTCGTTCCTTGGCCCTCCTTCTTTAACATGATTCACATGTTGTAGTCTTTGTAAATGTTTATCAGTCTTGCAATGTAGTTGGAAGTTAGCTTTCAAGTTTGTCTTGTAGGTGCAGAGTTTGCAAACGTAGTGACCTGCCACCAAAGCCAAAATCTCCTGCTCTCTGATTTTTGTTCGGTCCTGAGCTAAGTGGTGACCCAATGCTTCAAGAGAGTCTGTTGAGAAGCAATTGCATATGCAGCAATGGAAAGTTCTCTCTGGTTCAGGATCCGCCGGTTCTGGTGGGGGCTCCATTGCTTCTGGGTTTAGGCCAACATCGAGATGGGCGCCAAGTTCAGGTGGTGAAGGACCAGGACCTCCAGTCATTAGTTGAATCATAAGTGCTTGATTATAAGCCATGTCAGCGAGAGCAGCTTCTGGATTTGGTGGAGGGGGTGCGTCTCCTCCATGAAAGTGTAACAAGCTTTCGAGTTGTTGTTGGCTTTGTTGTCTGTGATGTAACGCTGAAAGTGTTTGCATATGCTTCACGTTTTGTTGTAATACCAGCATGTTGTGGGTATGCTTTTCAGATGTCATGTGTATTCTTAGGTTACGAGCCACATTTGTTTCATAATTACAAACATCGCAACGGAAAGTGGGCTTTGGCTTTTGACCTAAAGGCGAATGATGTGGCAGTGGTGGTTTATGGACACCAGGCGGAGTATGCTGTGGAGCAGGAGGTAAAGTTCCTTCTCCAGGATTACCACCATTCTGTAACTCTTGCATGTTATTTAAATGCTTATCCGATTGCATATGTATGCTGAGATTGCCTTTAGTTGTTGTCGAGTAATTACACACCTCGCATCTGTATGGTTTGTAGCCACAGGTATAAGTTTCACCGCGCGCTAACCTAGGATGTGGTTGGCCAGCTATGCAGTAAATGCAACTTGTCTCAGCTTCGGGATGTTTTTCTTTCATATGAATTTCTAAGGTTTCCTGGTATTTGTAATGCCAGTTACACTTCGGGCATTTCAAAGTTTTACATGAATTGCGACTATGCATTCCAGCTAATGGACCACCTAGTCTTCCAGAATTCAGTATCAACTCACATTTTGGACAATCAGCACCAGAGGGTCTACCCCCCAGGTGGTCTGGACAAACACCTATCGTCGTACCCGAAAGGAAAGCTGGAGGAGTTGCTTGGAACGGTGGGGAAGAATTTGGACTAACCCGTTGTTGTACTGAAGCATTTATCGTATGAGGATGTGCTACAGATATCAGGGAATGCTGCGGCATCATGGACTCTGCTATCGACCTTGGTGGTCTCCAAGCATTTGGACTAGGCCTTCTGTCATCGCATGTTCCATTAGGCAACATTGAGTCATTGTCTCTGTCGGGGGTCACTGTTTCTGGCCGTTTGTCCATGGAAGGACTTGAAAGCTCTGACATGTTTGCAGGACTGTCAGAAACTGACGCACGAGGTGGTGCAGCAGTGCCTACTGGTTCTAAAAATGAGACTAGCGGTTCTTTATCTTTGCCAACGCATTGGATGATAGCAGAAGCGTTTTCTCTTGATAAGGCGTCTCGTTCTGAGTCAAGTAACGATAAACTATGGTCTGATTGTGCATGTGCTACAAAAGATTTAGCGTAGCCAAAACTCAATTTACATATAAAACACATAAGGATTGGTTTAACAGGAACGCTGATTGGGCACTCAGCTGGCGGTGAGGGCGGTCTAGGAGCATCTTTTCCTCCGCGAAAGCTGAACACTCGGTAGCTGTGCATCACTGGCGCGTCAGGCCTCGCCCGCGCTCTTTCTGCCGCTAGTCTACCGTACAGTGCGCCATATAACGAAGGGTTTCTGGATACGTAGAACGCACTGGCGATCTGAGGGAATTCAAGCTGCCTTTCGACGTTGCTGCCGCGGCTGTCGACTATGCACCCAGGTTCTATTTTAGGCAAGTCGGGCAGGCTAGTCTCGCCCTCAGACAGTTCGGGATCTTCGATGATGTAGGCGGATCCGTCGGGGTTGTAGACGATTTTGCCGTCGAATCGTTCGACGTCGGAGGAGAGCGGCGGCGAGTCTCTTCGCGAGGTGAGGTCGACGGCATCGGGCGCGGCGGGCGGTGAGGTGGGCGCGGGTGCGGACGAGGGCGCGGGCGTGGGCGCCGCCGGAGCCGCGGGTGCGTTGCGCGGCTCCTCCTCGGGACTCATGTCGCCGTCGTCGTCGTCGGGCTCGAGCGCGGCTGAGCTCTGCGGGTCGTCGCGCTTGCGGCGCCGCTTGCGCTCCGGAGGCGGGCCGCTAGCGGGGCCGCCGGGCTGCAGCGGCGTGGGCATGGCGCCGGGCGTCAAAGGCCGGCATCACATGCTCTCCTGTAACAATAAACAACCAAATCTTTAGCAAATCAAAGAAACTTATCCAACAACCTGTAAGAACGGCAGCGAATGTGAGAAATGATACAACAAAATGGATAAAAACTGAATATAATCGTCCAAAAACACACAAATATAGGTAATTCAGGTAGGTACTACATCTCAAACCTAATAAAATTATAAACTAGAGAAAAAAAAAAGATCCATCGACTCTCAGATCACACATAACAAATGGACGCTGAACCTCAACTGTTCAAAGATCCTCGTGAATCACCAATCCCTATCCATATTAAACAATTTAACCATCGCCTATTTCTCACGGACCAGTTTCACCTAGTTAGCTGAAGGTGACTGCTGAATAGATTGTATTGGCGTCGTCGCAACCGGAAGTGGGTGGGGCGATCGCTTATGTCACCCTTTTTGTTTTCAAACGTTACATTTTGTCATCGTTTGAGTAACAAGTATCGATTTTATTCATGCAAATGATTCGCTGTGTCGCAGTTGACAAAAATGTGCTTCGCTTTCAAGCATTCGTTCCAATTCCCAAAGCACCTTAACTAAACTTGGATAGGTAGATAAAAATGAAGCGAATCGTTTTCAAAGTATTAGTTCAACATGATTTTGAAGAGCCATGGAATATTTTATCGGAGCTGTTGATTTCATTAATACATTGCCTAATCTCACAAACAGCCGATAACACTTCTCAATTCCCACAGGCAAGAAGAGTCCCTTAAGCTATGTACACATACCTACTCAAATTAAAATACATGGTAATCGCTTATCTAACTGTTATTTGCGCAAACAAGCGCGATCAATTTATCCGAATGACAGCTGTCAAAGTTGTCAACGGTGACACATTTACAATTAAGCAACCAACAAACTTGGAACTCTGCAAATATTGAATTTTCAGTTGGAATGTGAAGTCTTATTGGAATATAATTCTTCATGCAATGTAATAAGGATGTTGATGGAAAAATCATTATGACGATGAGTGTTGATAAGTAATCGGATGAACTAGAATAAAAATTCGTTAAAATCGAGATTAAGCCGTCATCTCCGTTATCTCGGCTTTTATCAAAGATATAAATCCTACAAAACATATGAAGAACTAGGTAATAATGTATTGTGTATTTAGTTGACAGCAAACAGGATAAAAAGAAATATCACATGATTTCCAATAAGATAACGTACCTAATTTATAACACTAGTATATTAGAATCAAGTTCTAAGATTTTATTCGAGTCGACCATATTCATTAGAACTATTTTCTTGAGCAACTAAGATTGATAAGATATTTTTAATTACTGCAATAACAACACGTAGCAAGGCAGTAATTTCCAAATCTAATTACAAAATTGCCAATAGGAAAACGCCAGTAATTTATTCCTAAAATTAATATTCAGTATCAAGAAATTAACACGGTTAAGAAATATAATTATTTATACAAGAATTTCAATTTTATTGCACAAGTTTTCCTTGATCTTGCATTAGACTAAAACAATTAACTCTTTCAATCTAAAGATTAGCAAATTCGACGAAGGATCTGACTAATTTAGTAACACTCATTAATTGGGGTTATTATTAATTATGACTAATGAATGACACATGTGGATGTGTAGATACGCCCTAAAATACCCGAAAATCGACGCTCAGAGACCCAACAGGATGTGGACATAAGTGATAAAAATATAAAATTTTGGTACATTTTAAAAAGACCTTGGTTTTTTCTATAAAAGTAATTGGGCACTCCTATATTATGTTTAGTAATGTTTACACATTAACGGTCGAGTGTGGCCCTTGAAATTATCATCAGCTATATCGAACGAGGAGTGGATTGTGTCAATATTTGACAAGGCGACAGTTAGGTTAAATGAATGAAAATCATTGTTCAGTAAACGAACAATTTGATAGCAAGTTTGTTCTACGGAATGTCCGTGTATATTTTTATCAATAATAACTTTATTATTATATCCATTTAAGTTAATTTCAGTCGTTACTGTTAATCTAGTTCTTAAATTATTGTTTTAAAAACTATTTTCCTCTACACCGTAATTAGGTACGATGCCGAAGCACGTTGCATGCGTTATAGATGTTGGCAGTTACTTGAATATGACAAAGTAAATAAGTCCAATTACTAGTATAATTATTGTGGTTCCTCTCTACAGCAATTTGTAGATCATTTCGCAGTGCTAATGTGTATGGAAATTATGCAAAGAGCCGGTAATTAGAGTCGAGGTGAATGGTCTGTAATGCTATAATTTGCTTCTAACTATATTTTTGTGTGCGTATAACAAGATCTGTGGTGTTGGGCGAATTAGGTACCTACCTGCTACAACGTACAGAACACAATAAAATAAGTGAAAATTATTAAATGAAATTTCTACCTAAGCGGGCTTTCCCGAGTAATAATAACAAACATATAAACGAAAACAGTTTTATTGAAACCTACCACTTAACTCGAAGCTTTTATTAAGTAGAAAAACTATTTGACGCAAATTAAAGATAACGTCTTCATTGACACGACAAGCTATCAATATGTAACGCAAAATCAAAGGTTAGTCGAAGGTGCGACGTGCGACTATAATTTCTGTTTTGCGAGTACGCTCCAAAGTGGCACTCAATGATGTAAATGTTTAATGTGGGGGCACGTGCAGACATTCCCATCATTACAATCAGTGTTGTCAATTTCCACCGATACCCCGATGCTTGCTGCAGAACTAATTTCCGATAAACGCACACAAATGAAGCTAACGTAGTTACTTCGAGTGCAAATTACACGTACACATGTCTGTGTGAGCGTGAGAAAACTACGGCGGAAATTATGACTTGTGTGTGCACCGACACTGACGCAATTTACGTGTGCGCACGAGACCCGCACTCACATTTGCTCACCAAACACACGCACACGCGCAGCGCCCGCATCGGACTGCTCTCCTACAATAGTTATCAAGTCCGTCATAATGAAGATGCGCGCTTTTCAATTCATTAATGAGGCTCCCACAATGTTATTGATAGGATGATAGGAACGAATGAATACCGCTTTTGTCAATGTCCAATTTATGAACAGTAATCTGCATGATCACCGGCTAATCCAACTTGTTTATTTAAAGAGAAAGCTAATCAATAAGAATTTGAAAGGAACGATACTGATTACGACAAAGAATTCAATAGAAGTGAAATTAAGAATGCTGCGGCTGATGCCAATATTTAAGTTTTCAATATAAATCCCTTAATTAGTGACGTTGTGTTCAGCTGCCGATCAGTTTCCTCATTAGCATAAACAGAAATGAGAATTCGTGATTCACGGATCACTTTCGAATTAGAATTTACCGTAGTCAGAGACGGTGACATTTGTGGAGCGCCACATTTATTACAACCACTGGATTTATTTAATGGACGTTAAATACGTCTGAGCAAGATTCATAGTTAAACTACTAACGTCATCAGAACGAACATTTATCTCACCTAAGCTTAGTTGTACAATAATACCACAAAATAATTGTAAAAACGAGAAACTATTGCAATAAGAAAGAGTGATGAGCTAAAAGTATCGGCAGGCGCGGAGAGCAAAGCAAACAGCGTCTCGCTTATAGTGCGAGATGGCTCAGTAACGAGAGACGCGGTAAACTACGTCCATATTAATAATCGTCGGTTATTACGCGGGCCCTCATTAACTCGCCGGCCGCTCGCCCCACGAAACCGCAGAACACTGCTAAATAATTACCCCAGACTGCTTTCTTCACGAAAACATCGTAAAAGCGCATTAAACAACATCTACTAAGTCCGCTCGAGGAATTACAATAAATAAGGTATTAAGCCGGCGTTGTCAGGCACCGAGCCGAAAATGTCGAAAAGCGATTAATGGAAATAAAATTGAGCGAAGTCCGAGAGAACGATTTACTTAATACATTGATAATAAGTGCATGGAATGTATGTAAAATGTTGTACGTAATGGAGGTAGTCTCGTTAGACGTGGGAACGTGGACGCTGAGGCGAACCTCGCTACTACATGGTAAGGATCTCGCTCGACAATGTCCACCGTTAGGGCTTAACTTTAAACCTTCATTAATGGTAATAGTTCTGAACTCGGCGCTGGGAATGGCTCTTTTTGCAGCGCCCGAGCAGCCGAAGACGCGTTACAGTAATAGCCGTGTTCGACACGACTCCAGCAAAGCCTACCACTTTGATAAAAGGCCAGTGAGGTTCAGAAATCCCATTAGATTCTTAATATCTTCCCCTCTTATAAGAATTTTGTGGTCATAGACCAATAAGAAAACTGATGAGCACAATACGGTAGAAATTCTATTAGGAGTTTTCTTATAAGATTTTCTTAAGCTCTGAATTAGAATCTGCTAAGAAACTTCCAAGAAGATTTCTCTACAGACACAGAAATATTTTATACATTATTCGTTTTCTATTTGTACGACACAAGACAAAGAGTATAATTAATTTCTTAACATTCGAATTACAGAGAAAGTTGTAATTAAAATGCCTCTCTAATTCCATTCGACGTAAAGTGACAGAGCAAATTCGTCGAGTATATTTGTAATTACGGTCTTTTGAGGTACGTAACGCGATTCTCTATGTTGATTAACGACTGTCAATGGTTGGCTTTTCATTAATTTACCGGCTTAATTAACCCGAAACATATGATGTGGCAAAAGGAATCAAATATATCAAGAATACCGCAGGATAAAGCCAAATGAAACGCCATTCCCAGGTTGATTGTGTCTCTAATTAATAACTTGCGTGGTAATGAAAGACGTAATGACTAATGAGAGTTGAATCTTGAGAAATAAGAATCTTCATATGAAGTGGAAGAATTCTTGGAGCAGGGAGTACTGATTAGGATGACGGCGATGACGCACAATTCAATGAAAAGTATAAAGTTAGTCATTAGCTAATTGAGCAGACCGATTCTAAGATTGGCCAGGTTCCGAGACACAGCATCGCGTGAAGCTGCAGGTAGGTTGGCAGGCGCCATTCACTCCATGTGCCGC